GGCTGGGGATCCTTCAGTGAGAGAGAACCCTCAGTGAAAGGAGATCCGTAGTGACACTGACTTATTTACTTAAAAATACTTCCTGAAAAAACTAAAACTACACAAAAGTTAAGCTATCTAGATATTCCAAGAGACATGGGTGAGTTACCGAGGAATGGAATCATTCAGAGTGGCATTAATTAGTTTCTAAATTGCTCATGATTACTACGAAGAATTTCGATGAGGGAGCCCCCTTGAGCAGCTCCGTCCTCGAATGATATCCGAACTATGTAGATAAGCGTAATATGGTATGCTGATATTAATACTGTAGCAGCGAAGGTATGGCCTCCAGCAATCTTCCTCTACTTCCTCTTCCGATCGTCTGTTTTTTGGGTCCTTGTGCTTCTTCTTATCCAATTCCCAAGTTTCTTTTTTTGAAAATGGCTGCGGAAACGAAAGTCTCAATTTGCATTCTCCAACCCCATTATCCACAGCCAGCTTTAGCCCAATCGCCTGTTTATTTTGAGATAGAGTCCATGATAGAGCTTGTTCGGGCGAAATTACAGAGGTGCTATGCAGAACACGTGGCGAAGAAAGCGATAGAAACCGGATTTTGAGAGGAAATTTTTCAAGAAAACTATTTAAGAAGGGGACTGTATGAGATCATGAGGTGGCATATACGAGGTAGTCAGGCAAGTGTCAGTTGAACGCTTCAGTATATGTACTAGAGCTGACTGCAGTTAGCCCGAAATGTCAAAAACTGTCCTCTTCTGTCACCATTGTTCACGTTAGTTCACGTTAGTTAAATTTTCAAAAAATGTGCCCCATTATGGATGGTGCATCTTCTTCAGGGCCTTCGAAACATGTACCCCTCCAGGTGCGGCAAGCAGCGGAGACAACCTTCGAGCCGTTGTTACTTTCTATCTAGACCGTTTCTAGTCGGACAATTGCACTTATGGTATACCTGAGGTGTGAAGAGGTACTTCGTAACTGCCACTTTTAAGGTAAACTGTGCTCGTAACTTGTGCCTCTGAAACTTTTCACTCATTCGAGTTCTGGAAAAAGGAAGTGCATAAAAAGTGGGATATGTTAAAGCGTTGAATTTGAAATTGTGACGGTTTCTAAGGTTGGAACGAAGGCAACGTAAGCTATTGGTGCGATTTGTTGTTTGTATCTCGCAGTATTGCCTTGATATTGATGATTGAACTTTTATGAGCTTTTCCGCCCGCTTAGCAGCAAGTTTCAATGCAATATGTTGCAAGAACAAAAAACCGGCTGTATCAAGCGTTTTGACGATTGCGGTTGATATAATGTGTTGACCTCGAGTGGAGTTCCTGTTCCGCTCGGCGAGAACAACGGTGGTGATAACTCGCTAAATCCCCTATAATGGCGAATGGAAAGTAACATTATTCAGAATTGAAAAATTACGCTGGTCCTTTCCTCTTTCTGTCTTCCAAGAAGGTAAAGACTCGAAGTGTTTGGAATTCGGGCTGCGTCCTGTGATAACGTCATCTGGGCCTCTAAGCACGTTTCTCTTGATTGAAGCTCTGATAAACGATGATTTGAATAGCTCTTCAGAGCATTACTCAGCTCCTAGCTTGACGCGGCTCTTCATCGGTCTCACGATTTCGCACCTTTCAAACAATCCGTGATCGCTGCCTTAAGGGCACGGTTCACGATAAAAAGGTTACTTAGTTCTTCCTTCAGGAATGCTCAGCACGCCCCATGGGTGGTAGAAGGGACCCTCTCGTTCCCACAATCTCGGCGCTTAGGGCATAGTGGGAGCCCCGTTGCTGCCGTATTTTGCTTCCCCGCCCCTCGATCGGTGTCGCGTTCGACGAGTGTCGAGACAATACAGATTGTAACTATTCGTTCTAGGACCCACGCACAATCAGCTAATCGCCGAGTGATGAGGCGACGTTTTTCTCCCATTCTTTTTTCCTCTGTTTTTCTTTTTGCTGCCGCGATCCCTTATTCAATTTCCTACTCGTAGAGGCTGAAAAAGGTGAGCTACTTTTGCTATTACTAAATTTTTTCTTGTTTATTTATGCTTATAAGTGGATGAATTTTTGCTTACCATTGCCTGCTCTTCGCACCAGGAACCACACGCGCGCAGTGAAACACACTATTTAGCTCGTCCGGACGCCCCACCCTTCTTCATTTTTCTGGTTTCATTCACGTCCAGCCCCCTTTTTACCGTTTTTCTAAGCCTTTTTTCTCCTTGGAAACACCGATGCACGCAGCTTCTTCACCTCAGTCGCACTAGTTTCGATCTTGTCTTCCACTTTTCATCATAATCAGAATTACCCAAAATTATCGTCAACTGTGCTTTTAATCATCAAAAGAGTACAGAATTACAGGATTGCTATGGCGAAGACGTATGACACTAGCTGAGGGAGGGTGAGCGCGATCATTTTGCCCATAGTGAAGAGAGTCACAAGACAAGGCATGATATGCCATGTTAGCGCGCAGCTTGTTTCCGCGCGGAAAAGTCGCATCCCGAGTTCACGCCATAGATCCTTCGACATTGCTTTAGAGCCACAAATAATTGTACAGAACGTATTGCAATATTTATACATCGACTGATTAAGAAAACAATTTTAAGGCTTCCACAGATAATAAAGTCAGATATAGGCATGTACTACAACCTGCATCCTATACCATGAGATTGATATGGAAATGTCAGAAAAATAATGCAAATACAATATACAACAGCGAGAAAATTGAAGAAAGGTGCTGGCAAGTGGGAGCTTACCGCCTTATTACAACCGAACTACAATTACCTGTAGTAAAAATAGCTCTATTAGATTCTCCCTATTAGGAGAATCCCTGGACAAAAGCGTGTCTCTCAAAGAATCCGTTGCAGTTGCCCATAAATTTCAGTTGCAGCGCCTCAATGCCGAGACATATCGTTCATTTTAACCTGAAATTCAAGAATCTGGTCCAATAAGACGGAAGAAAAATTACTTTTGCGGCTAGCCACTAGTTTTGCTTCATCTGATAATTTCACGGAGACGATAGTTCATATGGATAGACAACATGGAAAGCTCTTACGGATGCGATTTTGCAGATGTTAGACAATCTCTCTATATATAATCCACAATTTGTGTGTTTGTTTGTTTGTATGTATGTGTGTCTGTGTGTAACGCAATTCAGTTTCACCGGAGAAAACACCTTTAGAGGTCGGGACAAGTTTGGGATGGGTGGGGCCTGAGACAGGATTAGCAGAGCACATACGAGCTCTGCGGAGCTCCGCCAGCGGGGGGCGGGGCAAGTGCCGGAATGGGCGGTGCCAAGGGCTAAACATCTTATTTTGTCCTCGAGAAAGCGCAGACACCGGGAAAAAATGAGCAGAGGTGAGGATTGGATCAACAAACCAGTCGGAGGAGACCTACATGCTGTGGGTGGAGCTTTCTCAAAATGGGCGGTACTTTTCAGATGCATTGATAACTCATTTCAATTAAGGCGCAGAGGCCAGGAAACAATAGGAAGAGTGAGCAGGGCCTTATGCGTGCTGGTAAATCCAAAAACCAGAAAATAATGCCTCTGTTGCACGATCTCAAAAAGAGCAAAAGCAGTTTTTTAGTACACTCGAGGCTGCATGAATGCAATAATTCGCGCTGATTGCAAGTCCTTGAGTGCTATAGATTTGCTATGTGCTGCTAGACGCTAAGCGTAAACGCTCTCCACTGCTTACTTTGAGTAGTACAGGAGTTTCGCTTAGGTATGTGCACATTGCTTAATTGTAATTGTAATGCTTACCTCACTTTCGGCTGAGCTTTTCCTAGAGTCGCTTTCCTCGCTGATTGTTGTCAATCCTGCATTGCTGAGCTTTCGAGTTTCACCATTATCAGTAGTGGGTTTGTGGTTAGTTTTGGCGTCTGCTTGAGTAGCTGAAAAATCGAGATTTCATTCGTCAAATTGTTTGAATATTGAGAATTCAAAATCCTGGATCGATTTTATCAAATTCACTCGATGTTGTGTGATGAATTCGAGCTTTCTAACCCCCTCCGACATTTCATCTCAAAGTTCACAAGCAAGTGGCCTACATAAGATGTATTTGGGTCTGATACACATAGAGAAGTAGGCCTTTCCAATGATTCCAGACTACATATATGCAGTTATTTGATGCGACCAATACCCTTAACTTCATATCACTATTTGGTACAGAGAGGATGGTACAGTGGCTTAGAGCAACGGCATTGCTCACACATGACTCCCGGAATTGGCTAGAATTTTCCCTTTACCCAGTTACCCTTTGATTTTCAGGTGTTGGTGGGTGTCAGCTATACAAGTTAGCTTAGAAACCTTCGCCTAAAGATGCCGCAATCATTATACTATTTCTGAAATTTGTCGATACTTTGAGAAACCATCTCCGAAGAATAGAAAGCATGGCTCAGTAGGCTCACCGCGAGGCTGACGTCGGATCGCTTGACGGGGGGAGTCGCCGTAGTGCACTAAATGTACAGCGCTTTGACTCACTGGGTAGACGGATGTTCGGCGTTTACTGAAAAAATTGATGAGTTTAATTTTTCCTTTAGTATGAAATAGATTTCGTTTGCATACGGTACGCAGCAGATGTCGGCTATTTTGTCCGCCAACGAAGGCTTATGCGATTTTGGAGGGTCTCCTGAAAAAAACTGGCTTTGCGTACGTCCTACTGTACCATGCCTGTAACTTTGCCCTTCACGTTAAAATCGCAATCACAATCGAGCAAAGAACATGTTATGCTTGGAGCCTATTGCTTTTTAAGCTTTTTTTGATGAGTTCACCATTCAATCACTTTTTCTGATCACAACAAGAAGTCGATGGCACGGGCGAAGATGTTGGATCCAGTAAGATCCGAATCCGAACCGATGCCCCCTTCAGCCAACCACACCGTCCCTCTGCAAATGCACTGCAGCCATTTGAGAGGCTTAGTTTTATTGTAGGATTGAGCTTATCAAAATTCTTTATTAGCGAAGAACAAAGAATCCTTCGCGCACCATACGTACCATTGAACTTTTTGATGTCCACAGATGACCTTCGTAGAGTCATGACCAACACACCCCCAAAGAGTCCTACTGCTGTATTTCTACAGAGAATCTCTTGACATGAAAGAAAGCTAACAACTAGTAAAGTTCTGCTGCTTCACAGACCTTCTTCATGTTTGCCAACATCGACAGCAACCATTTTGACATGCTCCTCTGGTTTTGCGACTCTGAATAGCTGAAAATTTCGAAAAAAAACCAATCTGATGCAAAGCAGTAGCATTTACACGGGTCGATTCAAACAACATTACTTCGCCCTTCGAACCCTTTGTCACCGAGAATGACTCAAAGGATTTATGATTTATGACTTCAAAATTTATGCTTTCAATTACTAGAAAACAAACGGAAATAAAACTGACTCAATACCCTCAGCTGAGCCGATAAGTGTGTTATCTACACCCCATCGTTGGCTCTCCTCAGAATAAATCGGATCATAGTTTGGATAAGACAGTCGGTCAGGAAGCAATTCTGGGCAGGTGT